TAAACCCTAAACCCTAAACCTAGCGAAGCTTCTGGAAACGCCCCAGGGCTTGGTAGTCAGCCAGCAGCCGTACTGTAGGAGCTCAGGGCTCTGGTCCGAGCCAATCGGCACCTGAAGCCGACGAGCAGAAGTTCCGAGACCCCCTTGTCAAGTGGAGGTGCACATGAACCGTGGCAACCATGAAGCAGACACTTGGCTCCTTCTACAATGGGTTTTGGTGGCCAGCAATTTGGGGGGATTTAGGGGCTGGGAGGGAGTTTCGAGCCTCACAGTAAGCTCGTGGGCCAGCTGCAAACATGCCGGCGCGCCCTCCCGCTCTTTGCTCCTCTCGCTTGCTCTCGACTTTGTGTGTTGTTGTTTGTCTGGCTGTCATCATCACGCAGCCGGTGAAAACAAGCAAAGGAGATGGCGAACCACTTCTATGGCTTCTTTGGCGAGCTCGAGGCAGTGCATGCCCACCAGAATACGATTAAGTAGTACCACAGAATATACTTGTCCGAGTGTGAGTGTCAAATTAAAATGCCAAATATGCTTTGTGTTACGATGAGTATACTTTCGGTCTATCATTAGTGCACTGTCCCTAAACTGTATAGCCTAGACTGCTGCGGTGTGGTATTGCTCGTGTTTTGAGGGCACAGTTGGCCTCCGAGTACCCATCGCTCTTGTTGCTCACACAGGGCACGGGAATTGGGTTTGCTGAGCGTGATGGCTCGACCCGGTCCTGCAAGACATGGCAAATCTGAGCCATCCATCCTCTGATCATGCAGGGCCTTTTTCGGCGGGCACACATGCAATTCTATGTGGCTAGACGCCGGCTCAGACCAAGACAAAACGTGATACTGCCTATAGACTTTCGCACATGAAACAAGAAACAAGACACTTCAATGACTGTGTGAGCTTCTGCCAGACACGCCTGAAAGTCATTTGTTGCCTGCCACTAGGTGAAGTATGAGAAGCGCATGACCGAGCTCTTCGCCGAGATCTTCCGCGCTACTCCTCTTTGCCATGTGATCAATGACGAGGCTCGTTACGTGGTGGGCGCCTGGGGTCCACTTCGAGGGACTGGTGCCCAAGATCGGAATTGCCAGGATGGGATTCTAGAGTCTATAACCCTAAACCTAAACCTAAACCCTAACAATCTATGGAGGTTGGGGGCATGCGACTAGATGCATGTCTTGTCTTGACAGGGCAATTCATGTCTTCTCCCATGGCCAAGGCCTCGGCCCGTCAACACTCATCCACAAGGGACTCGGGGGACCACTTAAGATTTTGCAAGAAGTTTGGTCGTTTGACCTTACTTCTTAGCACTGTTCTCCGGTCAGAAATGCCAGCGATCAGCTCGAGGCCACCAATTTCGTAATGTTCCATGGGTCCGACCAGCTGTGTGTACCATGGGGTTTTCAGACAAGCAAGTGATCCTAATGTAGACCCTCATCATTAGGAACTTGAGTGCGCAAGGAGCGCTAGTTTTCAGAAGCCCCGCTTCATTCTTAAAAAGTTGCCTGGCTCAGAAACTGTTAGCAGAGGAGGAGTATTTTGAATGAGGAGATCTCGGAGAGGTCGCTCCCTCCCAAAAGCCGAGCGCTTTTCAAAGCACTGAAACCTCCCCGCGGGTTTAGGGTTTAGGGTAGCTAACGAAGCCCCTGAACCCCCCAAACGCACAGCGGGGACAGGTCTTCGTCGTCCACGGCGGCATTCCGGGACCTGACCCTCGCGTCTGGTGGAAGGGTCGAGGGCTCGGAAAGCAGACCTTGAGGATTTTGCACTTTTTGATATTTTAGGGTTTACGGTCCTGCATTAGATTTTTGTGCAGAATGGGTCCAGAACGGGTTTTAGAGTTTAGGGATGTTTAAGCTGAAGGCGGAAGGCTTAGTTTGGGGTTTATGGCTTCGGGTTTAGGGTTTGTCTCCTCAGGTTCATGCATTCCACTTTATCATCATGGCCTGGGACTCTGAATTTAAAGCTGTGGGACCTTTGAGGTTTAGGGAAAGGGGCTTTACAGAACTCTAGACTCTAAACCCTAAACCCTATAGCCTTATTTCGCATGCGGCGGGTCGCATATTGCATGGCCTGCTGTCCTCATCTGCCTCCTTGGTTGATTGCGACGGGCCTGTGTACAATAGGGACCTTAATAATTGTCAAGGAATACTGCTTTGGGGGTTCCTCATTATGATTAGTCTAATATGCCCAAAAACCCTATCTAATTATTAAGGCCTCTATATTAGTTGTCATGGCTGTGTCCCGTGGAGCACACTCCATCAGATGTACTACTCCTGGCCGATCCGTGAGGGATGTGAACTTGCTTGGAGGCCGATGTATGATAGTTAAACCGTCAGCGCTGAACTATCGAAGTATCAGAAACCAGGCGGACGGCCCTGCTCGAACTGACAAATGAGCATTGTGAGGCCAAGGTTCTGGATGGTTTTGTTGTCCTGAGCCTGAGCTTCGTGGGTATGAGGCTGACGAAGTGCAAAAGAGCCGAAGTTTTCAAGGTACATCCTGCCGCCAACCCGACAACAGCCCAAAGGCATGGACAACCAGATCAGCTTCGATGGCCGTCAGATTCAGATCAGCCTCGCGGTGCGCCCCGCAGTGTGCACCATTTTTCTTCCAGCGTTAGCGTTGCAGGGCCATGATTTCGTTCTATCCATATTGGAACAAATCCATCGAATTCCTCTTCTAGTTCTTGCTGGTCCACACATGCTCGCCGATACAAGTGTTTCGTATCCTGAGACTGCGCATCGTGGAAGCCTGAAATCTGCGCAGAAACATTGTAAGAGGACTTCCATGGATGGGTTCAAAAGCTTGGCAAAACAATGGCTGTTACGTCTGTTGGCTTCTGATTCAGCTGCCTTTGCGGTGCTAGTAGCTCACCGACACTTGGAG